AGGGTTGTGGAATTGAGCCCTGTGTGTGGAGCAAGGAGCCTGCCTACGATTCTCCCTCCCTCCCCCTCCCCCTCTGCCCAACTCCCCTGCTCACATGCTCTCTCTCTAAAATAATTATATATATACATATATATATATATATAATACATAAATAACTTGAAGAAAGAACTTTGTATCAAAACTTTATTTATTAAACAAAAAATGCACCATTGGAATAACATTTCTATAAAAAATGAATATGAGACTGTTCTACAGTGATTACAAAACCCCCTTTTTCCTCGTGTGGTAGTATACAAGATCGAGTGTAGAAACAGTCATTGTTTTAAACTGTAAGCAAGTATCCTTTCTCATAGAACAAGATTTACACTTAAATATTGCAATCACTAGTCTAATTTGGTTAACAATGCTAGAGTCTTGACAATTTAAAGAAACTCTTTGTAGGCTCAAAATACCTTTGTTTGTTTAAAGGTGTTTTGTAGCAACAAAAAATTTCTTTGTCCACTAAGGCTAGTTAAAGCTGTAGTATACCCATTTCTACCAAATAAACCTACCACTAGCACACTAACAATTTGAATTGCAAAGCCCTTTGAGAGAATGAGTAGCACTGATCTGCAAAATGCTGTCAGAATATTTTAGATTTGGTGTTATCTTGTTTGAATGACCCTGGAAAGGGAGAAGGTGGTAACAATGAAGCTTCAGTGGAGGCTTTGCCTGGACTTATCCTCATACTCAGCAATGGACAGTTCATTTCCAAAGTGGTCCCTCTGAGATATGGAACACTGCAGCTTTAATAGCCGTATCTAGATTCCCAACCAGATCTCCCTTTTTATCATAAATTATCCAAAAAGAAGCCACTCTAAATAATAAATTAAATATTACTTATAAAAAGTACACCCCAGACCCACCCACCCATCCCCCAAACAAGCTGACAATTCACAAAGTTCAGAATTGTCAGGTTTACCCTACAATAATAAAAAACAGCATTTCTCCTCCTCTCCAACATTCCTTTCTTGCATCTGAAAATACGCTTTCAGCACACAGTGAGATCCCTTGGCCCATGCATTCGTGACATCTTGCAGAGTTTTGCTGTTGCTCTCCAACCAACAAAAAATTATAGGATGGCAATGTACAAAGGCTCTCTACTGAGAGCAGGAGAAGAAATCCTTCAGAGTGCAGCCAGAAGTCGCCAAGTGAACGTTACCCAACAGTGGCAATGCAGAGCGCAGGAGTAAGATGTATTTGTGGATGTGGGCGTGGTATTTGGTCTCCTATATAACCTCACTGACCAGGAAATACTCAGGCATTTATTTTCATCATTACCTTTTGGAAGTAGGTATTTGGATAGCAAAGGACACTGAAACATGGGAATGTGTCTTTTTTCATTGGAATGGAATATCACACAAAATGTCTATGATTTTCTAAGTATCTACAGTAATTTAAAACATTGGAATCAAGCAAAAAGCTTTTCTCTGCAAGATTTAAGTGATTTCTGAAATTCATGAGAGAAATAGACATTATGAGTAAAATGTTGCTCTGAAAGAAATTTTTAAAAGAGAGAGAGATGGTAGACGTGAGTATATGCCTGCTTCTGCAGCTCTAGAACGTTATGGGATCTGTGTTGTATACATGGTTATGAACGGGCTAGGATACTAGCCTCTGGCCTTCGGACAGTGTGCAATTGCATGAAGTAAACTAGTTGATTGAGGGAAGGAAAACAACCTTGTGCCACATCTATTTTAGGGTTCAGATGATTTTGTTTTCTGTAAGCATAACTAAAACTAGGGAATTTTTTCTATTTGTCTCTGTCTCATGGACTAGAAATGGAAGTTCTAAAACCACAAGTTTGAGTCTGGGATCCAATTTCATCTGAAATGGCACGGTGATTTCTTTAGAGGTGACTTTTTTTTTGTTGGAGTTATAGTTCAGCTGCCATATATGAAACCCTCTATTAAATTTGGAGGAGATTTTAGTTATTTCTCTAAACAAAATCAAAAGACAGATGTATCAGAAGGGTGGATAAGAATGAGTAATCATCTTCCAATACAGACTATGAAGGTTTCCAGAAAAACCTACTTAGAAATGCTTTATTGGAAAAGCCGGTGAGTGCCAAACTTTAAAGTTTCCAAATATTGTTTGGAGCAACACACTAATGCAGGGTATCTCTCCTTTTGTAGCTCCTACCAAGGCAGAGGACCAAACATACATGTCGTTTTGACCACTCCTTATTTTGAAGAGAATAATGTTATATCCAATCTCTCATACGAAGTTTTAATAAATTCACCTCTTATATCCCTGGCTTGATCTGTTTTTTCTCTCTCCCTCTCTCTTTTTTTTCCCCCCAGATTATTCAATTGAGTGTGCATTTTATAACACCCAAATGTAAAGTTCCATTATTTAAATATTCTAGAAGCTTATAGCCCTATTCTACAAAGAGGTAGCTATGAGTGTTTTTTTTATTGAATGCAAATCACTAAGAAACATTTAACTTTTGGCTACAGCATCCTCCAAATACACTTTATGCATTTTGAGCTATCTGCATTTTTGTGCGTTTAACAAGTGCAGAAATTTCTAGAGGAAAGAAAAAGGGCTTTCTTATCGGTATGAAATACAAAAGAAACGTACCAAACTTTTTCAAGAGGAGGCTCTGGCCTGACAGTTCAGTGCAGTGTAGAGGAGGACTGAGCAGGCCCTGCCAAGTTTTATTTTCTTCTTTTTCAGGGAGAAATGAGCCCTGGTGGCAGAGCTGCTGGTTGGCTGTCAAACATCACCCTATGGGAGTCAGAGAGATTTATGAGCTTAAAGAGCCCTGGATGTTATGAACTAGGCTCGAAGTAGGAACAAAATAGAGGCTATCTTGCAGTGTTCACACATTGCTTCTTGTCAAGAGATCAGAAGACTGGGAAATTAAAAAATGACCTGAAAACTTGAGCAGGCAGTTGTATACATATGTGAACTCTTTGAGATAGTGGGGAGCAGAGTTTTACAAAAGCTGTGGTGAAGTCACTGCGCACTAAAACCATTGGGTAAAGGGCACGAGAGTCTCTTGAGAGGATTTAAATGGATTCTACTATATCTTCAAGGCATGAATCAAAGCCTTATTAGCATTACAAATTACTAAAACAAACCATTGTATTTCTTTAATGAAGAAAGTTTTAAGAGCATGCACCAGAAATATACCTCTCACCGAAAACAGATAATGCATATGTTCGTGTAGTTTTACCAATTTTTATTTATTAAGGTCAGTGACTTTGACTAGAGTCAACTAGAATTTTGTGAAATTCTAGTTCTCTTGATTGTCCAGATACAGTCTATAGATTGAAGATGTGACTCTGAAATTTGAGACTTGTAGCCAGTTTCAAACAGAGCACTCAGGATGTCATTCTTTGGGTAGAGAATGCTTTCAGAGAATGTTCCTTGTTTATGAGTATTAGAAAGGGGGGCATTCTAGGACCTCGAGTGGTAAAGCTAGCCTATTGAACATTTTCTGAAGTAATGAGTTATTTCTGCAATATTCGGGATTGTGTTAGGAAATGCCTTGTTCCCGGTCAGCGGAAGGTTGTCTACCTAAGTGCCCAGATTTTGAACAAGAATAATCTGCCCTATAGAATAACGTCACATAGCTCTTCAGAAGAACTTCAAGAAAATCTTAGTATATTGAAGAAGCACTCTTGTTGAAGGAACAATTTCACAAATGGACCGGACTTTCTAATGAACCATTTGAACAAGCCCTCTCTTTGACATCAGATTTCCTTCCCGACATAAAACTGTAAAAAAATAATCTGAATTATTACTTCTGTTACAGTGCCATTTTGCTCAAAATATTTTATTCAGGGATTCATATATAATTACCCACCTAATAAAAGGAGCTATTAGGTTGTAAAGATCCTATCCCTTCCATGCTCTTTTAAAATTATGACCTACTCAAGCTTGAAATCAAAGACAGAGCTGAAAGGAATAATTCAGCTGAAACTCTCTTATTGGGTTTTCAAGTCGCCTAACTGATAAATATGCAAATTAGCTCCCTTTTGGCGATTCAGCTGCATAAACAGGGATTAACTCCAAATGCAGCTGAAAATTTAGAAATGAAAAGGGTGCACGCAAAGTGTTCTTAATTTCACCTAGTTCCAAGCTGTAGATAAACATGGCGACAGGAATTGAAAATTCTAGTTCACAATGAAGATGCAGCTCTGAAAAGCATCCACTGGATTTATAATGTGTCAGAAGCATCAAGAGGCACCTTCCTCTCTGCATCTCAGGCAGAGTGTAGGTTCCCTTGACAATAGGGCTTGGTGGTGGCCACTGACCAAAACTGCCCCCTCTGAGTCAGTGAGGAGCCTGTCGTGGAAAGTGACATCACTCAAAGGCAGGTACTGTGTGCAACTGCCTTCCATTTCACTTCCCTTCCTCAGGGCCTGTTCTCAGGGAGTCTGCCATTTCCACAGAGGGTGACAGGGATGTTGGTCAGGAGGCCAAGCAGTGTGTGGGAGCTGGCCACCTCATCCAAGGCTGGCAGCCATGGAGAACTCAGGAAGGGACAGGACGGAGGGGGGGGAAACACTTCCGTCCAGACTTCTGAGGAAGATGGCCTTGGTGAAGCTTTGAAATGTCATCACAGTGTGATATGGCACAAAAGCCACCCAAATTGAAAAGTGTCCTATTACAAGCTTAAGCACATAATTACCGTGTGTCTGACAAGATTGCATATTGTATCCTCTTTCAGGAAACAGACTCCTACCGGCAAGACACCACTAGTTGCAGATTTTTATATTCCCGCTCTTCAGACACAAATATTAACCAAGGGCAGATTGACAAATACTTGCAAAAATGGGTGAATTTTATAGCCGCTTGCTAATACCCACCACTGGTGCAAGATGAATGTCTGAGTTACAAAACATAAGCCTTCGCTGCCTTTTGTTGACTTATTTACTTTTTGTGCTGCCAAGAAAACATCCAATCCTTTGGTGCTATGTAGTGAGAGAATTTCCGTGGGCGCTTTGTACTTTGAAGTTGAAAACGAAATAATGAGCTTGCACTGATTTGCCACGGGATGGGACAGGCTTCAATAATGCACTTGCATTTTGTGAGACTAGACCTACAGGAAAAGGAAATGACAGGCCTCGATGAAGGAAAACATAAGCATTAGTTATGACGGTGTGGTCACTGCAGTGGCAAAGACCCAGGACTAGTCTAGCAGCTTCAGCTTTGACATTGCAGTGAAGACGTTTATTTACTTTTGTTTAGGGACCCCATAGTAATCATTGTGAAATTCCTGATGCCTATGAAAGAAGGGACACTTATTCCTTCTGAACCGCTTCAGGATCCTCCGTGAGTGGTCCTGATTGTTGACCTGTACACTGGTTAAGAGTTCTTGGACACAGGTGTGCTGTTTATGGGTTATTGGTATGCTGCAAAGTTCCCGGAAAATACACCTCATCAATTGGGTAATACGTGTTAAAAGGCCGAGCCTGTGATGGCATTAAGTTGCTTCATTAGCCCTTCCAAACTTGCCATTTGTTCACTCAAATCATCCTGTTCATACACCTACAGAAAGAATGAAAACAAAAGTTAGGACAGGTGAACATCAATACATTCCCTTTCTGAAGGCAGTGGCCATGTCTAGTTGGTTTACTCTGTATTCTCAAGCATGACACAGTGGCTCATAGCCATAGCGAGAGGCTGTGCTCAGAATAGAAGCATTGAATGAAGATGTCAATAAGAGAGGAGGTAAGGAGAGTAATGATTGCATACTGTTTCACTAACTTCATCCCTGTGTTGAGGAAAAAGCTTTAGAGTGAAAAGAAAAAAAAATCTCATTTCACACTGTCTGTGTGGTCTCAGTTAAGTTAGTGAGCCTCTTGGATATACAGTTCTTCTCAGCAACAAAATGATGATTTCTATTTCATAGGCTAAGTATCTTGTAGCATGTTTAGTGACTATCACAGTGGCCAGGACATGGTTCATATTCCATATGTTCTCCTTTCTCCTTCCCATCTCATCCAGCAGGATATGAACACAATGTATATCACCATGTTTCTTTTCTTCATAACACAACATAGGTACATTTTTGTGTGGGAGTTTGATGGGCTTTGCCTTGATCAGTGAAAGGTCTGAAGATTATGGGTTTGTTTTGTGGGTGGAAACAAAATTCTCGCCCCAAACCAGAGTTGGCTATGTGCACAGCACAGTAGTAAAGGCAATCTTATAGCCACCAATATGATTGGTGGGTAAAATGAAGAGGTCAACCTGCAGAAGTCTTAATGAACATATTCTCTATAACAGCTTTTTTCTTTCTTGTCTCAACATACCCTTTATTTTGACTAATGCAGATCTGCCCTACTTGATCATTCTTGGCCATTCATTTGATTCAGTTATTGGGCTAATGAGGCCTGAGTCATGATTTCTAGTTCTGTATAGGACAGAAAGCATTACTCACTACCTGGTCAGAATGTGTATCTAATCCTGCCAAATAAATACTGTTGATCCCAAGAGAACACTGGTGGAGCTTATATGGGGGGTAGGTCCTCACTCACTCTAGCACCGAGGAAACAGCTGAAAACGCATGGTATTAAACTAGTTGAAAATGGTATGTCTTGCAGAAATCTCAGCATGTCAGTGAATGATTTGGTCATATACCATATAATCTCCAGAGCTGAATGGGAATTGAAAAGTGGACAATTTGGCTCAAAAGACTGGTCTACATATGAAGAGTGAGGTTGAAGGGAGGTGATTAGTTGATAACTCATTTCCTAACATGTTTGTTGGTTGTTTTTCTTGAATTATCTAGGTATCATTGTGTAGCACAGCAATCACTAGCCACATGCAGCTATTGGATTTTTGAAATGTGACTAGTCTGATTTGGAATGTGTTATACGTATAAAATACACACCAGATTCTGAACACTTAGTACAAAAAATGTAAAATATCTTTTTAACATCTTTTTAATATTTATTACACAATGGTAACATTTTGGAAATATTGGGTCAAATGAAAGATATTGTTAAAATTAATCTCATTTATTTTTACATCTTTTAATGTGGCTTCTAGGAAATTTAAAATTACACATGTAGTTCATATTATATGTCTATAGGACAGTGCTGATCTAGATTAGTAATTTTACTGCTTTTAATATTATACCTTTGGCTATCACTCCTTAGAATCAAACTTAAATGCATATTGGTTCATCTGACATTACAAGATGAGCTATATTACATAAATTTAGGAATCTGATCTGACTTGAGATATGGCCAACCAACCCTGAGACTAAACAAATATCGTACTAAACAGCCAAATCCTGAAAAGTCGTGCAATGGATTCCTATAAATTTGAATCTTTTTAAAGCATACAAAAAGGTATGTTAATCATATAACAATACTTGTGCCAAACATTCACACACATACACATATTCAGTAATTTCCAAGTAGTTAAAATATCTTATTGTTTGCAGTACCGGAAACAATAAAGTTAAGAAAAAAAATTGTACATTCTAATGAGATGATTCTAACCTGTTATTTCATCTTTTTTCCCCCTTTCACTGTGATTTTTCAAGGCACATAGGTCAGTTTTTTGCTCTCCTTTCAAATGCTTTCCCTTGAATTATATTCAGAAACACTCCAGAGTTTTCTAAATTTCTGCTTTTAGGTAGCATCTTTTCAAATCTCCCTTACAATGCATTTGGGGAGAACAATTTTGCTCTCTCAAAATTTAGATTTTTGGTCTCCACTCATTTTCTTTCTGAGTTTTCTAATGTGATCACTTTTCAGCTTTTTCCTCTAGCTACAAACTTTTCCTCTCAAATAACTAAATAAAGTCACACATTCTGTAGTCATCTGCTTGTGTTTTTAAGATTGCTTTTTGAGTACAGCAGTAGTCACTGCTTCACCTGATGCAGCATAAATTTCAAGGATGGCCTTACATTGGCTGGATCCTCTGTTGCTTTGTGGCTTTCCTCAGATACTTCAGGAGCTGTTGGCACAGATACAGGGAGCAAAGGAGATCTTGCCTTACCAGCCAACCCAAGAGAGGCTGTTTTAACATGAGTCTTGGGAAGAGCAGGCCCTGAAATAGAAAACAAAGAGTGATGAAAGTAATGTATAAAACATTCTGGGGAAAAATCTCTCAAGTGTGTAAGCCAATTCCAGTGGGTTGGCATTGATTCTAGGTTATTGTTCATTCTGTAGTATAGAGATGGATTATGACACAATAAATGGGCTCATTTTATTTCTATTGAATGGAAGACAAATTCTGATTAGGTCTCTTCAGATGAATCTTCACCAGTCATATGTAATTTCAAGTGGATTCCAAATCATGCTGTGAAAAGGTTGCCTGGGCATTCCAGACTGTTCATCACACCCTACAAAGTGTCAGTGGAAGTCATTTGGTGCCGGTCTCAGCTTTGGGCCAGAAAGCCCTGTGTTAGCCTGCCTAAATGAAGCCTAAATTGTTGAACAGTACCGAGGGATATTTGTGCAATTAAAAGGCATGGTCACTCCTGGTCTCCAAAGAGTATTAGATGTTATAGTAAAACAAAATCATTCATGGCTAAACTGATAGAATCTCATTATTAATTCTCTTTTGGGGGGAAAAAAGTTATTCTGTCCTTACCAGTATAGCTTCTCTCAATAAAAGAAATTCTAATGTTCATGAAAATCATTTGTGGGAACTGCTGAGTTTCTACTAGATGACATTTCTGTTATAAACAATGGCTATCTTTTCTTGGGGGATCTGAAATTTGCCTTATAAATCCTGCTTAGCTTATAGCAGTCATATAATTTGTCCTTAGAGCCTAAAATAAAAGTTTTATGAAGGCTTACTGAATCAGCTAGTATACCTCACATGCCTAAGGACTTTGTCATTCTTAGCTTTGTAACCAAAACCTCAGCATAGAAGGTATTGAATTAAACCATGGAAAGAAGTTTGCCCAAGTTCTCTTGTATCATCAGTGACATTTGAGTTCTAATGATCCTAACAGTGTACTAATGCAAAATCTGGGGGGAAATTTTTCGTTTTGATCATACTTTGGTACACATAATCCTAGTTAATAAAACTCAGAGGTTATTCTACAATCAAAGAAATAGCGCACGCTTGCTTATTGGGAAAAAGTAATGCAAACAGTCTAATAGGCCAGCAGTTGGGTATATGCTAGGCAAAATAGCATGATAAATCGTAACAAAGAACCTTTTCTCATCCCTTCATCTTTATATGGCTTGACATGAATTCCTTCATACTTGTTTTCTTTCACTCTTAAACTTCAGGGATCAAAAGTTTGCAGTTGGAGTGATTTATCACTAGAGGGTGATCTTAAGTTTTTGGTAGCTCAGATGAAAAGAAGTACAGAGACAGGAGTATGAATCATTTTCTTTAAGAGAGAATATAATATTAACTGAATGTCTACTAAACTCTAGACCTATGCTAAGTACTTTGTCATTTTAGGCAAAATAACATAATGGGGAGAATTTGGGATTTATCAGTCTAATCTACATTCAGATCCTAGAAAGCTCAGCTGTGTACTAGCCACGTAATCCCTTGGTTAACTGACTTAACTTTCCTTGCCTGTTTAGTCTTCTGTAAAAGGGGAATGATAATTTGTGAGGATTAAATAAGATGAGGTAATTAAAGTGGTTGGTGCCTATAACTTGTTCAAAGAGGGCAACCTATTATTAATATTTAATTTTCAAAACAATTCTACCAAATGCCATTATTGTCAGTTCATATATGAGAATGCCAAAGTGGAGAGAAATTAACTTACCCAAGCTCACACATTTAGAAAAGGGCAGGCAGAGGAAAGGTTTGTACCAAGATATAACTAACTCCACTGAACAAATTAAGGTTCTATCATTAATGTGTTGATCTAGCCCATCCAATATAACTAACTTGAGGGTAGAAACTATTTATTGTATTATGGTTTCTCATGGTTGACTTGAGTTTTAACATAAAGGGGCAAACAAAATTCTAATAAACCTCTGCATGAATTTAAACTACTTTTATTACAATTCTATTTAAATATATATAAACATAACACATGGCATAGCTTTTATAAACTTGTAGTTCTTATACTGTGCTATTAAACCAAAACACATTTATTTTTTTTTATTTTTAATTTTTTTTTTTAATATTTACTTTTGAGACAGAGAGAGACAGAGCATGAACAGGGGAGGGGCAGAGAGAGAAGGAGACACAGAATCTGAAACAGGCTCCAGGCTCTGAGCGGTCAGCACAGAGCCCGACGTGGGGCTCGAACCCACGGACCATGAGATCGTGACCTGAGCCGAAGTCGGATGCTTAACCGACCGAGCCACCCAGGCGCCCCATAAACCAAAACACATTTAAAATCAAATAGCAAAGTCCTATAAAAATAGCACAATTTAAAGTTACATCATTTATTTAATATGACGGATGAGGTAGTTTGGATAAAACAAAACAGCCATATAAATGTGGTACTGACCGCTATGTCAAAAGTCATTTTGGATTTGTCTTATATGCTCAGTTTTCACTACCAATTTCCTCTGGTTGAACAAGAGGCAAACCTTCTTTCTTCTGCAGAATGTAATGCCAGCTAGTCTCCATTGGATATGAACAAAATATTTGTATATTAAATCTACCTCTTTCATTTTTCTCTTTAGACTATGACTATAAATGCAGTGTTCTTGGAGCCAACTTAGTTGTAAACTCAAAGGCAGGAACTAAAACCCCTGGCAAAGTGATGCTATAAAATGGCTCTCCAGATGCTCCAATATATGTGGTTGACATTAATATTGTAGATAATTAAGTGAGAGCACAAAGTTTAAAGAGGAATTTTCATAGAGGGCTGGTGAACCTTGAGAAGGTAGCTATTGAACACCTACTTTGAGTTACAGTTTCTGGATTATGTTTATCTTCCCTTCTAGAATGTTCACCATGCTTTGCTTAAATCTGAGTTTAGCTTTATTGCCACAGAAAGCTGCTTCTCTTAGAAGATTCCACGAGCCACCTCTTCCTTCCCTATATTTAATAGAGTAGGTGCACTTTAAAAACTAACACGGATTTCTGTACATATCCTTATTTACCTTTTATTTTTATCTCTAATTTTGACTTAGGTTTTCTTGATTATGAAATCTACTTATTTATTTTTAACTTTTAGCTTTAAAATTTTTAATAAACTAAACTATGTCTGAAAATTTTACACTTCAACTCTTAAACATATGCAGTGTGTGTTAATGCATATTGGAAATCAATTCACTTTAACATAGATATCTGCAAAGAGAATGACACAAGAAAAAGTCAGTAACAAAAGCATAGCTTATTGTGTAGGAAATTCAAACAAGCTGTGCCTGTTTCATCCTAGGAAAGATACAAGAAAAAAGATTATTTTAGAATTTGTTAGATTGTTCTATAGAATTCCCTAATATTTATTTGAGTACTTTTTTTTTTTTTTGGTAGTTTTGCATGTGGGGAAATTATAGTTCTCACTATAAAAGTATATTTTGATGGTGTATTTTCTGCCCTGGATCCTAAACACTTGGGGAGATCCACAGTGTATTATACTGCATCTAAAATAGTTATATTACAATATGATGCAAGTATGCCTAAAGAGTACCATAATTCAGACCTATTATAAAGATCATTATAATAATTGATTTTCTCTAGTGTCCAGGCAACAGTTATACATTCAGAACCTACTGAGTGTTGAACAATATACAAGACACTGCATTTTACAAAAGGAACCAAAGACATTGTTTCAGCTTCAAAGACCACACAGAGTGTTTAAACCTCAAGTGACTGCCTTTTCTCAAGTAATATTCACAGATTCAAAGAAATTCAGAATGCTGGCCCCTTGAGGGCTCTTGGAGTTTATCTAGTGACCTTCCCTTTATTTTGCTGAACAGAACACTGAGGTCCCTGGAGATCAAAAGATCAAGGTTGAATTAAATTCCATGAAATTCCAGTATAGGTGAAGAATCTGAACCCTTGTTTAGAGTTCATTGTTAATAGGGTTTGTCTGATGTAGTTTATGGCCTTAAATATTTTTCTTTCCCTTTCCTGGATGGGAATTAAGAAAAGAGTATAAGGGATATTTCTCAGGAGGGATTTTCCAGTATCCAAAAAGACAACTTGGGTCCCAAAACTGCCCTTAGGAAAGGGGAGCAGATACCGTAAAACAAAGACTCCTATGAAAACATGCTATATTTGAAAGCGGATGCTCATGTTCTTACATGTGCACTAGCTCTGTTGCTATGTTATATTTGCATTTGGATAGATTCAGCATTTTCTACTCTGAACCACCGCTGTTTTAAGCCTGGACACTGGTGAAACTTGGGTCCTCACAAGCTCACCAAGTTGAACCTCTTCCCTTACTTACGTACTCGTAGTTCACCATGTGTTACAGGTTCCTGTCTGGATTTTCTAGTGTGCATCCTTATCCTTCCACAGGGCCATGAGACATGCCTTTAATCCTTTACCTTGTGGCTTACTCCAATGGTTAAATTCTGAATTCATTTTCTACACCATTCAAACCAAACAAACATCTTTATATGAAATCACCAGTCTCATGGCATCAACTGTGTTCAAGTGAGAAAGCGGCGTAATCATTTAGCATTTGTATTAGAAAGTGATGGCTGGGAGCTCAGTCCAATCTGAAGAGGACACTGGGAGCCATCTTGCTGCTTCTTACCTACTGAGGAATTCCAGTTGTTGAGGGACCATTCCTTCATACTGAAGCTTCTTAGATTTCAGTAACGGCGGAGGGGGGGGGGGGTGTCTCCACACTTCCTCCATTGCGGTTTGGCCTTTTCTACACTGCCCTCAGAAACCAGTTTAAAAGCCAGCTTTGTTCTTGCAGCCCTGGTCCCCCCTATTCTCTATGTACTCATTCTTCACCCTAGGCTGCCTTTGCTGTACCCGGGGGTATTTGGACACACTAAAAGAGAACCACAATCCTACTCTCCCAAAGAACTCATGGAAACAGAAGCAATTAGAGAAACCATTGACATTAGGGTATTGAACTTCTGTTCTTCAATGTTGAGAATGACAGAATTTTTTTTTTAATTTTTTAAATGTTTTACTTATTTTTGAGACAGGGA